TGATGATGATGGTGGTGATGGTGATGATGGTGATGATGATGGTGATGATGGTGGTCAGCAAGACGGGGAGGGAGAAGAAAGACCCGAACGCCCCGAAACGCCCGCCGTAAGACACACACATCAGTCTCCAGCTCACCGACTTTAACACGTTTATCTTGTTATATATATAGAAATATATATCCCCCGGTTTCACAGACAAGGCTTAAGCCTAATCCTGGACTAAAATTTAAGTCTGAGTTGTTTCAGCTGAAAGAAACTTGCACTGACTGATCTTAAAATATACCAGTGCCTCTGTTTTGTCTCAAGATGCACACCAGTAATGTGTTTTTTCTAAGTACGTTTATAAAAATCACTTAAATGTCCTAACTGTGTGTGACGTCACGCGGGTCGGTCGCGCGCGGAGCGGAGGAAAGTCTCTTTCGCCAAACACTCTTCCGACGTTTATTTTATTTTCTTGGTCTATAGTAAATAAGGATCGAGAAAACAAATAAAATCATTTTCGACCTTAATGTACACACTTTGCTGATTTGGGACAAAAGCGAAGCAATTTGTTTATTTTTAAAATTCCATTATAGGATTCGTATAGTTTATATTCTTATCATTTTAAAATTATATTAATATTAATTCTATTATAATTAATAATGATAATAAGTTATATTATGGTTTAAATCATTATAATTCAGTTATATAAGTTGTATGGAAGCAAATTTTCGCCACCGAATAAAAATATAAAAATGTTAACTGCGATCTCACAATTCCCAACTGCGATTTTATTTCAAGTTTCAAGTGAAATTAATAATATTTCAAGTGAAATTAGTAATTGCGATAAAAAAAGGTCCAGATTGCAATTACCTTTCTATACTTTTATTTCGTGATAAAAAAAAAAAAAAAGTTTTGTGTGGTTTATATTATAGTTGATATATTTTTAGGTACATTAATGTAACTAATAAGTATTATAATAATTTATATACAATTTTTTGAACAACTATTTTATTTGTCATACATTGTCATACAGATTTAAAGGGGTCATATGATCATATGATTTACAAACATGGAACCACACCGAGGGTTTCAGTCCGCCAATCAGCTCTGCGGATTCCTCTGTGGGCGCTCGCTGATTGGACGTCCCCGATCGCGAGCTGAGCCAATCAGCCGCCGAGTCCAGGCTGCCGTCAGTCCTGCACGTCACGCACGCACAGCAGCACAAGCGATCACGTGGGAGACGCAGCAGCATGGAGGAGAGACGCGCGCTGGTGTGCGGAGAATAAAGAGCAGATTTGCCAGATTTCAGAAACCAGAAACTTTTAAATCATTATAAACACGCGTTTAGTGATTCGAACGTGCGCGTGCATTGCGTTAATTTGTCGTTTCTGTGTGATTTAGGGTGTACTCTATGGGCTTACATTTCTGCCACAATTCTGCACGCGAAAGATCATGTTTTGAGCGCACAAAAGTGCATTTTACACACGCTGTCTGTGAAACCGGGCCTTTGTTTTACAATGATTACAGAATTCCTGTTGTGTAAAATGCTTTGAATTTTTGAATTTATTTATAAATGTTATGAATTCAAATAACAGAGAATAATTTATATGCCAATATGAAGTATAAGCGTTATTTCCTAACACGTTTTTGAATACATGTGGAATCTGATAATTATGGAAGAATCTAAGACTTTCACTCTTAAAGTCCATTATAGAATTCATGTGGCGTATATTATAATGTATGTAAATATTAGTGTAATTAAAAATCATTATATGATATATTTTATAATTTAAAATTGTACTAATAATTATTATTATCATTATTAAAATGACTTCTAATAATTTCTGTTCTACATGACTCCAGATCTGAGTGGTTTTAAGGGTTTTCCTCTGCGCAGATCTGCGTTCTTCATCTTCTGCTCAGAGTACCGGCCGACGGTGAAGAGCGAGAACCCGAGTCTGTCCATCGGTGAGATCGCCAAGAAGCTGGGAGAGATGTGGTCGAAGCAGAGCATCACAGACCGCGCGCCGTTCGAGCAGAAAGCCCTCAAACTGCGCGAGAAATACGAGAAGGTGAGCCGCGGACTCACAGTCATGTTTATTTAATCATGTGGGCGTGGCTTGAGTGTGAGCGCTCTGTGATTGGCAGGAGGTGGCAGTGTACCGCACAGGGGGCGGAGCCACTAAAAGGGGGCCGGGCCGACCGACGGGCTCGACTAAAAAGGCCCAGGCTGAGGATGAATATGGTGACGATGATGAAGAGGATGAGGACGAGGAGGAGGAAGAAGATGATGAAGATGAGGAGGATGACGAGTAGAGTGTGTTTGTGTGTGATGCAGCTTCACTGATGTCAGACGGCAGAGGGTTATCTTGGGTTTTTCTTTATGTACATGTTTAACGACTCCAGCAATAACGCAAGTGTTCTGGTTTTGGTTCGCTTCTTTAAATTTATTTTTATTTTTGTACACGTCTGTTAGCCGTTGATCCAATGAAGCGTAGAGGTGCTTTTTTTTATAATACATTTTTAAAGGTTTTGATATTCTATTCTACTGTGTGTGTATATATATATATATATATATATAGATAATGTGCAAAGGTATATTTTATTAAAAAAAATATATAAAATATACATCATGAATAGAATATAAGAATATATAATCTTTTAGCTTTGCATTTATTGAAAATGTTATGAATTTAAATCACTGAGAAAAGTAGAAAAACTGGTTTGAACACCCAGTATGTCTTGTAAAATGAGTAAAAAATTATATATATATATTAACAAAGAATGCAGTATTCCTGTTTTGTAAAATGCTTAACATTTTTTAATTTATTAAATATATGAATTTAAAATAACAGAATGGGCTGGATATTATATCTACCACAATATCCAATATAAAGTATATGCATTACTTCTAAATGTTTTTAATAAGTTTAACTTCACGTGGAACCTGATGATTAAGTAAAGCCTTAAACCCTTTTAAAAGTCCATTAAAGGATTTATGTGGTGTATATATATATATATATTTATTTATTTGTATTTTTTTTTATGCTCATCAAGGCTGCATTCATTTGATCAAAAATACAGGAAAAAAGGTTATATTGTGAAATATTATTATGATGTAAAATAACGTTTTCTATTTTAATATACATTAAAATCTAATTTATTCCTGTGATGCAATGATTAGCATAAGAGACTTCTTTAAAAAACATTACAAGTCTTACTGATCCCAAACATTTGACCGGTAGTGTGTGTGTGTGTGTGTGTGTGTGTGTATATATATATATATATTAGAATATATATTAATGAGGCAACAGTGACATAAAAAGACAAAAGTGAAGCGTGACTCATTTTGTGTGAGAAACAGTCGTGAGCCGCCGCAATGACATTGTGTTTATTCTCATTATATTCTCACATCAAGCGGTACAGGTTTGTCATCCAGCACAGGAAAATAGCAAAATAAATACAGACGTACACCATCATAACCGATTCATAACAGTGAATCTCTGTAACGTCACGTGCACAACACACATGCTTTCACTCACACACACATTACGGGTTTGTGCCGTGGAGCGATGATTCAAGTGTTTATACTGCCATTCAAACACACATACACACATTTACACTGTGTGTGTGTATATATATATATATATATATTCATATAGAGCTCAAAGAGTGTGATTTCAAAGTTATTGCCCATATCAGATGTGACTGACTGGAAATCTGTGATAATACTATCAATAATAACACTGATTTAATCATTAGATCCATTAGAAAGCTTCAAGATTTAAGATTCAGAATGACAGCGTGTCTCAACCTCATGAATCCTGCAAAGAAACGCCCAGCTCAGATTATTACAGCAAAGTGTAATCAAATCCAGAAAGTGAAGTCTGCTTTTTTTACCATTACCTGACTATTTTCATGAAAATTAAACAGATTTATGCTAAGTTCTCGTGTACAAAAAATAAATAATTAAATCATAAAAATGTAAAATTCAAATAAATAATTTTGAAACCAAAACAAAACACTTACTAAAAAAATAAATAAAAATGTATTCTTTTATAAAATAAGTTATAATTTTAACTAATATTACTAATCATCAATCATAAAAATCTCAAAACACAATGAAATTTATTAAATATTTTATTTAGCTGACCATTAACTGTCATCAGAGAACCATGAACGTGCGAATATTTTCTCTTTAAGAATTATATATATATATATATATACAGTGGGTACGGAAAGTATTCAGACCCCCAAAGAGGTTTGGCTAAATAAATAATCAGTTATACACATTTCATTTGTACTCTACAAATATAATTTACAGCTGACAATAACTTGTTTGCATTAGAGTAACACTCATATTTCCATCCCTGTAAACATGTTTAATTGTCATAAAAAATAATGACAGTGCAGAAAATTATTGCACATTAATTGTCTTAAAAAGTCAAATCTAATTGGGGTTTGGGGGTGAAATATGAGCTGGACTTGATGTTCTTCTTCGCAGGTCTCATAAGATTCGAACAGGTGCGATGTGATGCATATTTGATGTTAAACAATCGCAGCCAATCAGGACGCAGGTGAAGCCGTGTGGGCGGAGCTACACGGCACAACACAGCAGAAATCAAAACAAAACATCTGCTGGTGCGTCGCTTGTGTTCATGGCTATTCAGAACAGAAACACAATGACGATGAAGGAGATGTTATGCACGGGTTGTAGCGTCGCACCTGATTCAGACACTCGTGACGGAGAACAGATGGCACAAAACACACGCTCATATAAAGAAAACTGCTGTCCTCCAGAACAGATGCGTTTCGTCAGCCCTGAGTAAAATCATGACGAAAAGAAGAAACTCTCCGCTACATTTCTAAATCAACAATTATGGAAGCTTATTTCCATAAAAAGTTAGAATTGCGAAAAAAAAAGTTAGAATTGTGAGATATAAACTCAGAATTCCGAGAAAAAGTTAGAATTGCGAAAAATGTCAGAATTGTGAGATATAAACTCAGAATTCCGAGAAAAAGTTAGAATTGCGAAAAATGTCAGAATTGTGAGATATAAACTCAGAATTCCGGACGGCAGTAATAGCAGAGGGAGAGACTCGGGAAGGGTTGAGGGTCTCGAGGTTCTCAGGAGATGGAACACTGCCGCATTTGACGCAGGTAAACATGAGTGACTCACATCAAGGCCTTACGAGCAGTGACGCCAATGGACTCTCTCTCTTTATCTCTCGCTCAGTCTCTCGCTTTCCTCTCTGTTTTTGCCCTCTTATATCTCTGTCTCCTCTTTATCTGCCCAATTTTCTCAAACCCAAATCGCATTCTTAGCATAACCGATTAGGACAACACAGAACACTTCTCTCTTGAGGACTCAATAAGGCCCCAAACGGTTGACTGTGAACATGTAGTATGGAAGTCCGTTTCTGCCACGGAATAAAAAAATTAATAGATTTTTCTTTCAATTGCAAGAAACAAAGGCTAACTGGTGAGAGATAAAATTACCTTTTATTTATTTTTTTTTGCAAAAAAGATTTAAATTCACAGTTGTGAGAAAAAAAAAGTTAGAATTGTGAGATATAAACTCAGAATTCCGAGAAAAATGTCAGAATTGTGAAAAAAAGTTAGAATTGTGAGATTTATATTTCTCAGAATTCCGAGAAAAAAGTCAGAATTGTGAGGGAAAAAAAAGTTAGAATTGTGAGATATAAACTCAGAATTCCGAGAAAAAAGTCAGAATTGTGAGAAAAAAAAAGTTAGAATTGTGAGATATAAACTCAGAATTCCGAGAAAAAAGTCAGAATTGTGAGAAAAAAAAAGTTAGAATTGTGAGATATAAACTCAGAATTCCGAGAAAAAAGTCAGAATTGTGAGAAAAAAAAAGTTAGAATTGTGAGATATAAACTCAGAATTCCGAGAAAAAAGTCAGAATTGTGAAAAAATGTCAGAATTGTGAGATTTATATTTCTCAGAATTCCGAGAAAAAAGTCAGAATTGTGAGAAAAAAAAAGTTAGAATTGTGAGATATAAACTCAGAATTCCGAGAAAAAAGTCAGAATTGTGAAAAAAAAAGTTAGAATTGTGAGATATAAACTCAGAATTCCAAGAAAAAAGTAAAAATTGTGAAAAAAAGTTAGAATTGTGAGATATAAACTCAGAATTCCGAGAAAAAAGTCAGAATTGTGAGAAAAAAAAAGTTAGAATTGTGAGATATAAACTCAGAATTCCGAGAAAAAGTCAGAATTGCGAAAAATGTCAGAATTGTGAGATATAAACTTAGAATTCCAAGAAAAAAGTCAGAATTGTGAAAAATGCCAGAATTGTGAGATAAATAGTTGCAACTACCTTTTTTTAAATTCTGTGGTAAAAACGAAAAGAAAATGAGATGTAAACTCAAAAAAAAAAGTCAGAATTGCAAAATATAGGCCTAAACTTCGAATTCTGAGAAAAAGGAATTGCGAGATGCAAACCTGCAATTACGAGATTATAACTTTATAATGCTTTATAATTTGCTAGATATAAACTTGCAATTGTGAGCAAGAAGTCGTAATTGTGAGATAAAGTTGCAATTAGCTTTTTTTATCTTTGTATTCTGTGGCAGAAACAAGCTTCCATAGTCACTGGTCAGGCCGCAAGCATCGGTCGACAAACGGCACGAGTTTCAAACGAAGGCCGAACGCGTTGAAGGCATCAAACGACACACAGTGTGAGCTGTGCCGAAGAACATGGTCCATCAACCACTAAAACAACAAACGCTGCTACACTTCAGTCTGTTAGACGTTATATATGTTCATCAGCTGCAATCAATCCATCAGTTTAACATTAAAAAGAGTCTTACTCAAACCACATGTGGTTACAAACGTCACGGCACTAACGACTAACCGCTAACACTACAGTAGTAAGTAACTATCATTAGTATTCTATGTGGATACGATCACACACACAATAACCAGCACACTCCAGTAACACAATCTTGGCATTCGTGGAAATACCACTTATTTAAAAAATAAGACTTTATATGCTGCTTTAGGAAACATCTACCATCAGGCTGAGAAAGGAAAACCCAGTTTAACTAGCTTATGATGGCTGCACATTGCTGGTCATCCGCTAGTCTAGATGATTTATCAGTTGAACTGTTAGCTCAAGTTTGGTAGACCATCTTGGTTAAGCGGGTTTTAGGGCAGGTTGACCATTTTGGACCAATAACAAACCAGCTACCATGTTCCAAAATACGTCATGTTGACGTGTGTGTGCTCTATGTTCAACAAGCTTATTGCATTTTCATATTTCACTGGGAATTATGAACAATAAGTAGTTCTTAAACAAGCAAACAAAGAGAAAGTTTCCCAACCACACAGCAAAAATTATTTTCTTACTTAGTATTTTTTTTGGGTAACACTACAATATTCCATTTTGAACACAAGAACTAAAAATGAAAAATAATTCTTAAGCACATATTAATCTTAGGTAATGTTAATTTCAACAATTACTAATACAAAGTGGCATCTGTTAATATTATTTAAGGAACCTGAGCTAACATGAACTAACAATGGATAGTTGTATTTTTATTAACAAAGATTAATATAGGCTGTAACAAATGTTATTGTATAGTTAAGTTAACTAATGACTTCATTGTAAAGTGTTACCCTATTTTGGTCGTTTTCCATTATAAATACCTAAAAAAGATATACTTACTTAAGAAACAAAATGTCTTAAAATACGAAGTCTTGTTTAATGAAAAATTGATTGAAAAAATGAGTTTTTGCTTAAAAAAGGAAAAAATATCTGTCAGTGGGGTCAGAAAAATAAACTTAATTCAAAGGGGAAATTTTTCAGATGCCATTGTCAGATATTTTTTATTGTTTTAATCATAAACTCGCATCATTTTGATTAATTTTTCAGAAAACAAGACTTTAAGTATGTTTTTAAGTAATTTATTTATCTTGATTAAAGAATATTTAGATATTCGTACTGGAAACAATACAAAAACACTGAGGAAAAAACATCACTTTTGCAGCACAGGAGCATCATTTCTGTTCTGAGCCAAAGCCAAAATGCATCAGCAAGCAATAAAATTAACCAATCACAACAGCATCTTGTTGTTCGCTGCTTAGCAAGGTGAAAAAGATTTAACGTGTGTGACGAAGAGAGAGCAGCGGCGCAATCAAACACACATCTGGAGATCCAGAACTTTCCTATAAGCATGCTGGGATAGAGCTGGACTAAGTGAGGTTGATCAGAAGAGTGAAGCGCTAGTTCCCTTATGAAGTACAAATAAATAATCTGAAACACAAGAAAAACAATATAAACGAAGAGTCCAGGATCGCAAACACTCACACACACTGAGCACTTGAACCGTTTCTCCACTCAGACGGGACTCCGTAATGTCTATAATCCTCCTCAACATCATCATAATCCTCCGAGTCACTGATCGACAGGAACAGGAAGTGAAGCTGTAGCACAGATGCACGATAAAGGCGGCTGTTGGGTTGCTAGGCAACAGCGGGGGTGGGCGGAGCCTAGTGAGGCAGAGGCACTAGGATGTCCACATAGTTGATGGGGAAGAACCCTGATTGGCCGTGGATCATGCCCTCGTACCAGTTGTCGTCGATCAGATTGGTCAGAGTGATGATGTCTCCCTCCTTGAAGCCGAGCTCGCCCTCGTTCTCCGGCTTGAAGTCGTACAGCGCGCGACAGCACGGCTGATCCAACGGAGCTGAGCGACAGAACGAAAGCTCTTTAAAAAGTAGTTAGTGGAATGTTAAGATATTATCATAACAGAAGCAAGAAATACAGTATATTTAAACAAAATCAAAAGTTATGCTAGTGAAAACACTTTCATTTAATAAAAATTTTACAGAATGTACATTTGCAAAGAACAAAATCAATATGAAAACAATAAAATAAAAGCTAAACAAAATACAGAATAGTAAAACACTGGTTATTTTTGAGATTTTGGGCTGTTTGGCATTTCATAAAGTGTTGTTTCAGACTGGTAGAAAGAAAAAATCCAAAATGCACATCTAAGTGTTAATTTTATTGTATTTATCTGTTTGCGTCTGTAGATTTCAATTACAATCCATATCTTCAAAAGTTTTTTCTCCACTTCAGCAGCTCTTACACACACCAAAACTTACAGTTTTATTCCTCTCTATAATTTGAAGGTTTTTACTGAAGGGTTTGTTCATATTTCATTCACACTGAATTATACAACATTTTATTCCTAGAAATGTGGCGAAAATGCATATCTTTAAAGGCTGTGAGTTTTTTCTCCACTTCAGCAGCACGTACACACACCAAAACTTACAGTTTTATTCCTCTCTACAATCTGAAGGTTTTTATAGAGGGGTTTGTTCATATTTCATTCACACTGATTTATATAACATTTTATTCCTAAAAGCATGCTGAAAATTGATTTGTTTTCTGTCTGTTGACAGTATTTTCTGATTTATGAAGTGATAAGAAGAGAAATTCAAAATCCCCTCTATAAAAACATTTAACTCTAATATGACAACAAAATCAAACAAGAATTTTGAACCCAACTCCAGATTTCTGTTCTGGACATTGCTCTGAAAGTGATTCTAACAATATTGTTATTATGTGTTGTTATCATTATAGTTGCACATTAAAAAAAAATGCTGTAGGATTTACTTTGAAACAATTTTCACACAGAAATTGCTAGTAAATTTCACAGATAATAAAAAAAAAATAGCAAGTAACATTGAATTAAACTGAAAATTTAAGTAGAAAAACTGAAACAGTATTTTCTTGTAAAACATAACTTTGAAAAATAATTTTTACAGTGTAATGTAGACTTAACTATTCTGATAGAATTTGAGTGATTATTAAAACTTTATAGTTATTTGTACTTTTTTACGTGTGTGTGTGTGTGTGTGTGTGTGTGAGAGAGATAGTGTGTGTGTGTGTGTGACTTTGTGTGTGTGTGTGTGTGTGTGTGTGTGAGAGAGAGTGTGTGTGTGTGTGTGTGTGTGTGTGTGTGTGTGTGTGTGCG